CCCTACCTTACAGTGTGGATAAGCACTCAGTGTCTGTCCCTACCTTACAGTGTGGATAAGCACTCAGTGTCTGTCCCTGCCTTACAGTGTGGATAAGTATGAGGTTATTGCACTTGTCATTTCCATAAGCTTCTCTCTCCTATACTCCACTTTTGACACCCCCCAAAAAACAAAAAACAAAAACCTCCTAAGCCATCCACTCTGCAGAGATGTCTGACACAAAAGAATCTCCAAAGAAGTAAAAAGTACCCTGTATAACAGTATAAATAGGGCAGCACCAGGAATTCCAAATGTAAATCTCCCACCACTTCAAAGGCTTGGTGACTATAAACCAAGGGGAAGAGTGACCTGATCATAAATGTTTGAATTACAAAGCATGATTTTAAATTTATGATTAAAGCTGTTTTCTTTCATATTGTCCATATGTAGTGTAAATAAACACATAATCAGCATGAGATCTCCACTATTGCATTTTTTGTTTGCAAACAACAGAAATATGAATTTTCAAGGGAAATTTCTAATCATGTATTTTTAAGAGACAAGAGCAAGCTCAGGTACATTCCCAGCAAAGCACGCACAAAGGCCAGCTGCGCTCGCACCTTCTGGAGAGCCTGTTTCTGCAGCCTCTGCTTCAGGTCTTTCGAAATGATTTGGGGATCCTCAAGTCAGTTGATAACCTTAAACAGTCGCCTCACCTACTCTGCAGGTGCGGAATTATATACATTTTTTCTTTTTAATAATATGAGGTACCCCCCCCCCTTTTTTTTTTTTGGCTGCCACTTTCCTTTGACAGATACAAAATGGCTTCTTTGTCTCATGGGCCAGTTCATAAAAATGGAAGTGAAACTAGTTTTTTCCTAAGTACATTGAAAAAAAAAATCAAACAAACAAACAAAAATCCACCCAACCTAGTCAGTATAATAATAATTTTGCTTCCAGAATCCAGGTCAGTTCAATTCACAGTCAAAATCATTTGGGAGGGACATCAGGCTCGGGCAAACACTTCCAGCCCCTCTAGACTGTCTGGCGTCTTCCTCCACCGGGCACTCATGGCCAGGTGGGGCTGTCCTCACTCATCTGACCTCAAGGTGGAGTACTGGAAGGTGTGTAACACACTACTGCTGGAGACACTTGACTATCTGCTCTGGTTTTGCGCCCAAAGCAGTAACAGTATTCTCCAAATACAGAAAAGATGGCCTCTCAGTGACATTTTTACTGCAAATACTAGAATGTATTTTTAAATCTAGAGTTTGAAAATAGTAATATTATGACATTATATATTGCAAAGTAGCCTCCTTGAAAAGGAGAGTTACAAATTTGATTGACGGTTAGTATTTCAGGTAGTATTCCTAGAAGTGACAAATATTTGTAGCTATTTTTAACCTACAAGGAAGGTGGAGCACAATTGACTAATTGTCCATAGAAACTGATTGGCCTTGTAATTTCATAAGATAAAAATGTAGGCTGATCTCTTAATTGGATATTGCATATTTTCATCATTTTTATTAATGAAATATAATTATAACAAAATAATCTTCTATGCTTCATAGCAGGAATAGAAAACTCGGGTCTATTTTAAGCATAATCTATCAGTCAAAGAAGAAAGAAGCACAACAAAGAATTCTAATTTCTCTAGAAAAAAAAGAGGTCTAACTAAACCTGCCACCTTACACTGCTGGCGGTTCCTTTAATTCGGTTATCCCCTCCACTTTGAACGTATTCCTGCACCTCTTTGTTACAGTACATCAACGGGGGCTATTCCTAAATCCAGTGGCATTTAACACATGTGTTGCAATGAAGTGGGATGTGCCACGTATTAAGCTCTGCGGTTCCAGCTGAACTCTGGGGCCACTGGAGGCCAATCAGCTCCCATGAGTGAGTCTCCTCTCTCCCTCTCCTCAAAGGCAAATGGAAGGCACACTGAAGTGCTGGGCTTGCCTCCACGTAATCTTTTATTTATTGCCAACTGCCCAATTGATTTAATGGCTACAAATTACGTATACAGTTTTATTTTTTCCTCTGGGCATTAGTTCAGCAAACTATTCTCAGCTTTAACACAATTAGGGGTCTCTAAAATATTCCATTCCAAAATCATTGTGAATACAGTTCTTGTAAAGTTCACAGACAACATTCTTCAGCTGGCCCGTACTACTGCAAAAGCCTGGGGAAAAAGATAAGAGGACTTGGGTGTGCACATGACCACAGGCTACCCCAAAGGCTGATGGAAAGTTTGCTTCCTAGCTGTAGTTCCTTCCTTCCCAACCCAGGAGCTGAAGGCAGAGTTCCCTGGTGAGCAAGGCAGGTGGACCACAGCCACCACCAAGGGCACAGAGGAAGGTCAGTCTGTCCTGAGCCTCTAGCACAGCGCACCTCTCCACTCTCATTTTTCTGTTATCAGTAGATTTTGATCCTTATACTTTGGGGTAAGAAGTTGGAACTTCCCTGCCAGTCTTCACTGGAGCCTATAAATAAGCTATGGAGATGCCACATTAGATTCTTACGTCAGAAAGCTGTACAGTCAAGATCTCCCCGATGGCTTTTCCTAGAGATATCCAGGTCTTTTAAGATAAGGCTAAGAACACATAAACATTTATTTTCTTCATAGCACAAACTAAAATTAAAACATATTTGTATTATCCATGTTGTATTAAGACAAGTAATCTAAGCCAATACTCATTCATAAGTTTGATCAGAACTGCCCATGATTCCATAATATGAAGATAAGCAGTCGGTCTTGAGCTGCCCAGCACTGAACCATGATACATAGAAAGGGCACTGAAGTGGGTTCTGTGTGGCACAAGCTCATAGACTTTTCATTAACTGGATTAATATTACGATAGGCTTTAAAATAAATGTAATATACTAAATTAAAATCTAATCTTTGAAACGACCTTTACAGTTGCCTTTAAAATATTGAAGTATGTTCAATGGTTCTCAAAATGATACTTGAAGATCCTAAGGAACTTTAAGTTAATTCTGTCATCATTTGCTGTATTGATTGTTACACCAGCACTAAGGATGCAGAGACAGGAGGATTGAGAATTTGAAGTCAGCTTGGGCTTCATAGCAAGATTTTGTCTCCCTCTGGAGAGGGAGAGACAGAGACAGAGAGAATGGAGGAAGGAATGAAGGGAGCAAGGAAAGAAACC